GAGCCAATTTCGGATCTAAGCTTTGACGACGGGAGCCAATTTCGGATCCAAGATGGAAGATTGAAGAAATTCAAAGGATAAGGTTAGGGAGAGAATAAGTTTTAGAAGGAGGGAGGTTTTTTTTTGGGGAATGGGAGGGGAGCTAGCTTCAAGTTTTTTGCAAGGTTACTACTTTAGATTCATTGGAGGTTTTTTTTGGGGAGATCAAGGATTGGAGAGGAGCTTCATGCTTCGGGTCGGGGAAGGAAAGACAGAGAATTGGGCTTTTCTTCTTCATAGAGTTCTGGGAAGACGGAGGCAATCGTTGCTGAAGTCAGTGTTGTAATGGTGAATCGGGATTTTTAATGAAGTAGGTTTGATTACTCTTAACTGTTTTGTGAAATCGAGTTACGTCTGTGATGAAGGATTAAAAGGGTGTCTATAGGATTGAGTATGTAGAGTGAATGAAAATTGTTGGGTTAATCTAACGAGACAGTCAGTGGATATAAGATCGTAAGTACAAAGCGGTATCGGAGATTAGCAGATTGGGTTGTTCGGGGTTCTCTGTAACGTCTAGAGACCTACCGGTTGGGGCAAAAAGGACTTCGACATGCAGTCGAAGGGCATCCGTATAGATTTACGGTGGATTCCTGCAGTCGTTTATATTCCAGCAGTCAAAACTGATAGATTGCTTGACTATCGGCGAATCTCCATACTACCTTCTACAGCCAGACGCCCGGCGCGTTCTCGAGCAGAAAAGCACGTAATACGACAACGTAGAAATATATGAGGTCATATGGCTAAAATCAGGTTTAATGAAGGAGCTTGGAATACGTAGAAATATATGAGGTCATATGGCTAAAATTAGGTTTAATGAAGGAGCTCGGAACTGTAGTGTCAAAAGCAAAAGACACAAGTGAAGTTTGAGAGAAGTGGTCGACCATGGGTGTGACACCCAGTTGAGAGCAGTCCTCCTTTTCCGCAGTTCATCTCGCTCATCGTTGTCATGGTGGAGGTTCAAGTCATGACAAGGGATGGCTGCTGCAAAAGGCTTGTCTTGGGTCATCGAAACTGGCCACAGGAGTAGTCGTAGACTGAGTAAAGCCGGCCGTTTTGACAGTTGTGAACAGGAAGAAAATGAGATGAGTACAGTTGTGAAACACAACTCCCTTGCCATATCACCCTTGTGTAGCAATAACCCACTTGCTGGATGCCATTTGCACTTCCAATATCAAGACTGAAAATGCTTAGAGATACACTTTAGTTCCAGCTGCAGAAGAACAATACCAGTTCAATAATGCCATCACTACACCTCCATTTAAAAAAGTACCATTTCCGCACAAAGAATCTATGTGTGTTGATTGAGAGAGAGTTTCCACCTTGGGTGCCATGAGTCATAATCAAGAGGCGACCTCTTCGTCTTCCTTCACCCAAACCAACACCCTCATCTACTACCGTTTCCGTAAGGACCCGAACCATTATAAGTAGATAGTTGACAATTATCTCAACTCAAACATGAGGCGAAGCACAAAACTGTGACCCGAACACACGAGCTTGTAACCATGCTGTGAAAATTATGAATTCATTGATGCGGGTTCATAGAACTGAATATCACCTGCGAGGTCCCAGTCGCGATCAGGTTTACACCCAAAATCGGGCACATGCGCATGCACAGGAGAAAGGCACATGAAGGGCGCCGTCCATCCCATACTCCTACCGTTCCCTAGATGCCACTCTCATTACCCTTCCCCCTTCTACGCGCTCGTCCAAAACCTAGTCGCCTAGTCTTCCGATCGAAGGCTGCCTCAGGCTTCATAGAAGAGCAAGATAGTACGGCGCATGTCTCAATGAACACATCGTTCACGTTTGCTTGCAATGCACGGGGAGAATGAGCGGTCGGAGGACAATTCGAGGTTAGGAGAGACGGAAGTGTGGCCAATGAGATGCAACCGAGGGAAGGGGGTGGAGAAAGACGTGGAGTGAAGAAGAACAGGGGCTTGTGAGAGAGACAATGGCAGTTTTGGAGAGGCAGCAGGTTTAGGGTTTCGTGGGGAGAGGAAAAAAGTCACCGTTTATGAGCGGCGGAGCGGGGAGACTGGCATCGCTAGATGGGGGAGTTGGTAGTCACTATCGTTGTATGAATCCATGGGTAACTACATGCCTATGTCGCAGGATGTGTAAGCGTAGCATGCAATTCGGCGGTGGACCTCGTTCTTACCCGCGGCGATGCACGATGCAGAGGCGCCTCGAGATGACGCGTTGGGTGGGGTGTACCAGAGGAGCCACAGCTTTTGGGGGTAGGGTTTAGGGTTGCACGCATTCAACAATTTCTTTTGGAGTCCGCCGAGGTCGTCGATGTCCAAGGGTGAGTTTTCGGGGTTTTCGATGGCAAACGAGGAGTCGCGGATCGAGGCGGGGAGCGGTGAAAGGGGCTTTTATGAGGAGGCATGAAGGGAGCAAGTCGAACGGACATGCAAGGATTGAAGTTGAGATCGGCGTCACTGCTGGGGGCTGAGGGACCTGGTCGCTAGGATTACAGATATTTTTCGATGCGTCGTTCAACAATTTTCTGTCATCGAACAACGAGGACGAGGAGGCGTGGGCAGTGATAGACATATACGGCTGCAATGAGTTCCAGATGTTGGAATACATATTTTGTTATAGATCTATAGTAAGTAGAGTCTTTGGCTCAATCTATAATACAGTATCCCTTAAATATTATATTTTTGTTGCTATAATATATTATGAAATTCAACATACATTTCAAATATTACATAATCTTCTTCACTACTCCCTAATGCATAAAATAGAATTTTAATATGTATTGACTTATTACATTCACCGCAACTTTAGTCTTCTCTAATATAAAGTCTAAATACTATCTTAAAAAGTAGATGTAGATGAAATGTTGCATTTGTTTCAACAACATCAATAACTAAATGAAAGGGACCAATAAAAAGACTTGGAAATGTGATTTTTGTGTCATCTCTTCCATATAGCCTATAAAGAATGACAACAATCTTACTTCTGTTGAAGAGCTAGCAATGGAAGAAGTTGGATTCCAAGTAGAGCGACATAAAGCCATGTCCTAGGTCACTTATTTAAGTCTATCTTCTATTCTTTCTTTTTTGATCCAAATTACGAATTCTAAAATTATTAAACTTTCACTTTTTGCTAATTTTTATAGAATTTACTTTTCTTCTTGCCATTTTAAATTTTCTAGTTTTTTTTCTTAGACTTTTTTTTCATTTTTTTTCCTTCTAATTTTTAGCTAAATTTCCTATTATTTTTTATTTAGAACTTTATTTCAAAAATCTAAAATTTACTATTGATTTCTAGCTGGAATTATTTTGACTTCTTTTCCTATCATTTTTAGTTTATTTTAACTTTAAATTTACCTATTATTGGCTAATTTTTAATCTACTTTTTTAATATCTTTACCTTTTTTTACCTGAACTTTAACCTTCATTTTATTCTATCTTTAGCTTCACTTAATTCTTTGGACCTAAGTTTATTCTTTTATATCTAATTTATTACTAATTTTATTTCATCTTTTGACTTGTACTTTTTTTTAACTTTTATTTTGTTACTTTCACTTATATTTGAAATTTTTCTTTCAATCAACTTCTATTCTATCTTTAATCTCAACTTTAGTTTCGATCCATCCCTAAATTTTTCCTAATCTCCATTATTTTTTTTTCCCTTCCTTTTCTCCAAATCTTTGGAGGCAATAGATTTATGATTAGATTTACAAATATTGAAGGAGTTTTCATTTTTTTGACTAAAATTATTTTTTTTAATGATGATAAATATTGCATAGATAGCTATTGTTAGTTACCAATAATAAGCTGACTTGGAAGGATAAAGATGAATATTTGTTCAACTTAAGTATTATATTGATATTGTAGACTTTGGATATTAGATGGGCCACAACAATTTTTTTGGAGTTTTTTTAAATTTTTGCAAAAGCCATCTTCTTGGAAGATTCTTGGTCAAACTAGTTGAAGGAGGAGAGCTTATTTGGGAAGGGTTGGTTATTTTGGTGTGAAGAGAGAATAGAGACTTTAATAACTTAATTAACTCCCCTCCAACTAGTACACTTGATACAAAATAAAGAGCAAGAGTTGGAGGGCAGTTATTGAGTAATTAAAGTCTCTCAATCTCATACTTCTTGTTAGAGCTTGTTGCCATTCCTTTGCAAGCGCCTTGGTCAACACATCCACCACCATGTTTTGTGTTCGTACATCCATGTTGAATCCGCCTCTCATACACCCCAAGTTGCAAACACAACGTTGCCAACTTCTAAATTAAGTTTGCAACATGCTATCATTCCATTAAGTTCCACTTTAAATAATTTACACATTGCTTATACATAACACCCAATCAGGAAAGATTGCAAACTAGACACTTTGCCTTAAATTCATTTTTTTGATGGTGATATTTTATTGTCCTAGTCCATACTCCACTGCCCACAATTGCATAATGCAATGAGTTTTGTTAATGATCCTATGTTTGAATAATTTCTTTGTAATATCTAAAAATTCACATAATATAATAATATTTTTTTTAGTTATTAAAATGATCATTGATTATATATTCCGATTTTTTTAGTGTTGTGTAAATATGTATCAAAGGTAATAGATATTATTGTATGCAACTTAAATAGTTCCCTGAATTAAGATTTGTAATTTCTTTGATTTATTAAAAAAAATAATAAATAAAAATAAATATAAAACTAACAATTTCAATCAAAAGAACAAGAACCCTTATCCAACAATAAAATATGGTTAAGAAACAAATCCCTGCTTAAACTTTATTATTTCAACAATTGTGAATTATTCATATACATGTATGAATATTATAAAAACTAGTTTATTTCCTAAACTAAATTTATGTGATCATCTCTTTACTAAAGTATAAAAAAATAAATAGCAAATATATATATGAATTTTAGCATATTGTTTTTACTATAATCTAAAAAATATTATAAAAAATATGTTTATAATTTAAAAATATTAAAATTTTTAAGATATTTTGATGATGTGATCAATTATTTTTGGATTGTACGTATTTGAAATCTATTATGCAATATTTGGCTGATATGAAAATTACATCGGTTACTTTAATTTGTTTGTGTTGAATTTAATTTTGATTATATGATAGAATTTTTTTAAGAATAAATCACTGTGATTATAGTATGCAGACTTGTGATTCTGCACGTAAAAAAATAAAAACAAAAAATGAAAGGTTTTTTAAAAAAGGGACGTTGATAATAATATCTGCATTATGTAATCTTCGATATTTTTAGATTTATATTTATGTCCATCTTATAGACACATTGAATAATTGTGTTGCATTTACAATAATAATATGAATTGGAATAAACTTTGACATATTATTTCGTTGAATATTTTGGTAATAATTGAGGCAATTTCAATTATGAAGCACTATTTCTTTTTAACACTTGCAATACTCTCAAAAAAATGAATGGTAAAGAATTATGCCAAGAAGACAAATCAATACGACCTCATTCATCTCCTTCTTACTCTGTTAGCAATGGGCACAGCAACTCTCAGGGTTTCGAAATTGAAAACTATGCTCTTCTGTTCAAGTGAGTTGTTTAAATTTTCAATGTTCCTTTTCAAATCAATCATACGTTTTAGTTTTTTCTATGGTATAGTGAGTCTAAGTCTTATGTACATATATTAGCAATTCTAATATTTTATTCATATTCAGTTCTAAATATTGTATTGTAAAGTGAAAGATTATGATCTGTGAAACGATTGTAATAAAATAGAGAACAAGATGAAGATTTGGAAGGATTAAGAGAAAGTGTAGAGCGATTAGGGAATATGGGCAAATCAATAAATGAAGAAATTTCAATCCAAGTAATACATTAATTTCATCAAACCTAATCATTGTGCAATTTAAACTAATAATCTGATTGGTTTTCAAAAACATCTCTATTCTGTTGTTTGACGTTAGCTCAGAATTAAATAAGTTTTATTGAACCTTCGATAACAAAAAACATTGGTATAAAATGTTTGTTCAATACAGGAAAGGCTCATCGGTGATGTGGAGCATAATATTGATACAACCACTACTCGTCTTCACTTTGTACAAGTAAAACACACTCCGAAATAACAATTTTATTAATAATCAATACCATCAAAGCCAAAAACAAAATGATAGAGGGTTTATGTGAAAGATTATAATAGAGGGTTTTTTGTGTGATTGTTAAATTTTAATTTTAATTTTAAAATAACAGATAATTAATCTTAAAATTCAATTTGATTATACATAATTTGATAAAACTACTAATGATAAAGAATGGATACTTAGAATTTTAGTAATGATCATATAATATACTATTTAAAAATATAAACAGTTTTGTTTTGAAAATTGTGTAATCATGCAGAAAAAGATGGAGATAATGATTGTAAAAGCAGGAAGTAATGGACAGATATTCATGATTGTCTTCTTGATTGTGTTATTAATTGTGCTTGTAGTACTTATATTCTACACATAAGATTATGTTTTCTGTATACCCAAAAATAGAAAATTTCAACACATTACAACATTGTAAATGCATTGATTTCAGCATTCTTGTTGCACTAGTTTAAAAAAAATATTACAAACAGTAATAAAAAAAAAAAAAAAAAAAAAAAAAACATTGAGTACCTTGTTTAAAAACATATACAGCAATTAAAATAGTTAATTAAACGTTGCCTTTTATTTATCAAAACTTACAATCATGATTTAAAAATCAAGACTATGATTTCGGCACATATATTGAATATTCTACGTTAAAGTTAAAATTGATTTTAGTATTGCCTGTTACAGAAATAAATGTTTAATTTTGAACCATGAAGTGTCAATGTAATAATTTGTAACTTCATTTTACAGAAGTGAAAAAGTACAAGCATAAAATTAGCTCTGTTATAATGTATAATTTATATATAAGTTTTCCGAGGTTATATAATGAATTTTAATATAATTATATTTATTGTTATCAATCATTATTAAAAAAATTAAATGTAAAGACCACATGAATTTAAATTATTTATGGTATGTACATAAATCAGTAATATATCTTTTTTTCTTTAATTTCCAATCAAATGCTGAGTAGCTTCTTTAAAAATACTGACAAAAATATAATCTGTTACTGTGGATTCACTTCAAAGATTTGTCACGTTAGTGGGATTTGAAATTTGACATTTCTTTATTATTAGAGATTAATATGTTCTTACAAGTTTATCAGTCATTCATCCAATCACTTCAATCCTATAATGATATTACTCATAGAAAGTGTGTGTGTGTGTGAATATATATATATATATATACATATATGTGGTTTTTAATTTTATTTTTTATTTTTTTTATTATTTTTTTGTTTTTTGGTTTTTAAATATGTTAAACAACTAAAAACTTGTAGATTGCTTATTTAATATTTTTTTCTTTATTTATTTTTTTATAAGAAAGATTGGGAAAGACATCTAAAGCATCTAAGATGATCTTTTTATATAAAAATACATGTATTTGAAGATTTTTTATCATTAAATTATAGACTTGCTAAGACCTAAAAATAATATTTAAAAAGTAAGTATTTTATGTTAGTATTTATATTTTTATTAGCATTAAATTGTAAGAATTTTATTTTTTATTTTTTGAATATATATATATAAATAAATAATTCTTAGATGTTTTGATTGATTGAGAAAATTATTACAAAACCTACTACAAAACTAATGATTATTTGTTACAAACCAAATCTATAGTTTTGATAAAATTATAGTATTATTTTGTTTTTTTTGAATATATATATATATAACTATTAATAGATATTATATATTTGACTAATATATGGATAATTCACATTAAATTACTATTTTTTGATAACTTATAATCGCCATAAGTTGGTGGTACTATCATAAACCTATAAATGGCCTAATAAGATAATTATTTCTAAGTTAAATAGATCTAGTAGTAAGTTATTGTTAGTATGTTTGTACTCTAAAATTCTTATCATTGGACTACAAACTTGTGCAATAAGAGCCTAGAGCCAAGCCTCACTTCATGTGGTTAATTTTCTTAATTCCTCTTTAGATAAGGTAGTGAGTTCATTTTGTATTTGCATCATTAAGTTTCTATCTTAGCAATATACTTTCTTATATTTTCTCACATGATATCAAAACTTTGTACACTATACTATTGTTTACTGATTAGATGGATTGTGTGAGGTTCTTTTTGAGATATGGACTTTTGATTATCTTAACAAAGTTTTATTTTTTGTGAATTAATTTGAGAGAAACTTCAAAATGCAAAGTATAAAAATTTGCAATAGCTCATCATAGAGAAATATGTAATTGATTCTTTACCTTTGAGAGCAAGACTTAAGCTTAGAACTTTGCTGCAACAACTCTCAAAGGCCCTAGAATTGTAGTAGAGGCTACTAAAAGAGGCAATAGGAGTTTTGAAATTCAACAAAATGTTGGAGTAAAGAGTCAACAATTAAAGGAATTGTTGAAAACACAAGACTCTATATTAGAATTACAAAGTATAGCAAAAACATATATGAATAGGATTAAACATTGTCAACAATTAGAAGACTTAGTTCCAATAATAAGCGGGACCTTGGAGTAGTAGTGAAGAACTTTAAAAACTTAAAGTATGAATGTCAAAGTCAACCCCAAGCAAATTAAAGAATCTACAATTTTGTGTTGTAATATAGCTATTGGATGAAAGAGAGAAAAAAATATTATATTATAAAAAAATTATTTTAAAATATAATAAAAAATTATATTAAAAATTTAGATAATAATTAAAGAGGTAATAAAACTAATAATAATTTTTTTCTTAACACCTTATGCATTATTTCCTTCAGTTTTAATCCAACTTCATGATAAGATCAAATCCTTCTAAATCTAAATGCTTAGTATATTCCCATGCTAATTTTTACATAACACAACATTGTGATGAAGATCCTCAATAGCTACATGTCCTTTCTTGAATAGATGACAAAATATAATAAATTTTGCATTACAATCTTAGAAGAGACTCTTGATGCTTACTAATATTATTTAAAGTAGATACTATACTTGAAAATGTAAAATATGTTGTTTGAAGATTGCTATAAAGGCCTCAATAATTGTGAGCTAAAATAAATCTCCACTAGTTAGAAGTTAATACTAGGTCTCAACAAGTGAATCAATTAAGTGATTATTAAAAAAAATAACTCTTATTTAAATCTTAATTAAATCACTCTTAATCCCCTTAAATCACCCACACATAAGGTAGAATTAACCTCTATTAATTGGAATTATTTCTAGCTCACAACAATTGAATTAACTATGTAATTTTGATAAATTGTAGCTCTTATTTAATTCAATTGAATTGCACAATAAACAAAAAATAACTAAATAAAAATAAATAAAAACTCCTTAATTCATCCAAGTAATGAAGTGATCCCTACTATCAACTCACACATATGAAAATAAGTCAATCCAAAATTTTAAGAAATATAAAAATTATCATTACTACTATTTTAATTAATAAAAATTTTAATATTTTATTTATTTATTTATTCATTTCATTTTATTTAATTATTTTAATCTCGAATTAACATTCATCCATCAATAAGAATTTGTCCTTGAATGACTATTCATCCTATTATAAAAATTCATTCAATAATTTTCATTCAATTTAAATTTGATCATTCAACTTCCATTGTTCATCCAATTTAACCTAATTCAACCCTAAACCTAACTTCGTACTAGCCCAATTCTCATTCAATTTTTTCAATTTTCCTAAAATTATCCCTTTTGAAACTCTTACGGAGAAGGAGATGTAACTTTCAATTAACTCCAGCCTGCACCGCAGCGACTCAGGCTCCACTACCGTAGCAGCGACTCCGGTTCAGCAACTCCGAAGCAGCGATTCTTGTTTATCCATCAATCTTTCTCAAAATTGCTAGTGTATGGATCAACTGACTGCTCTAGCACACCACCGCATGCTGCCTCAATCAAGAATGCGAAAGTCACAGAAGAGCGTCGCTCCACCCACCAAACACCAAAGGCAAGGCCACACCTCGACAGATTTGCTGGCAAGAAAGAAGAACTAGGAACAATTCGCACATGAGCTCGTCAACGCCACTTCTGATTGGAACTGGAGTTGCTGCGATGCCCTAAGATGACTTCTCCGAATTGGGATACTTCAACCTTGGTCGTCTCCGTCATTGGTTCCACATCCAAGCTAGTCATGTGCCACTAATTCTTTTCTTACGACGTCGACATCCTTTCTGTTGCTTCGGAGCTTGTTCACCATACGTTCATCAGTCCACAACACTCATATGAAGTACTCAATTGACCTTCGCCATGCCGCAAGAGCTCAATAATCAGATCACCTCACGTCTCCGCAGCTCGATTCGACCACCGAAATGTCAACTGCTCCATCCACAGTACCCAAACAGAATGACGACAACTTCTTCGCACAAAATAAGAGATCGGGACGTTCTAGAATAGAACCGCAAGAGAGACACGAGTACTAAACCACAAAAAAGAACAAACAGAACCCAACCCTCGTGGATCAACGAGTGTCCATCATGCATCAACTTGCTACTTCTCTCAACCAATCGCAGCTCCCACAGAAAATCTTGAGTTCTTCTTAAGCGCGCACAGCCACGATTGTCACTACCACTTGGACACGGAACAGAAGGGAAGGAAAATCCACTTCTCGCTGCCTTCGTCGGAGACTAGTCTAGTCGCACACACCAAAAAGATCACACATCGGCAGATGTTTCTTCTTGTCAGAGCATCCGCGATGCCCAATCACAAGGAAGAGAATAAGAAAGGGGGTGCGGAATGCAGCTCTAAGTTAATGTAGACCCCGCCTTGATCCCCTAGACGAAGCTCTCCAACAGCCCAAAACTCCAACTGCTCTTCCAATAACTGCAGCTCAAGATTCAAGTCGTAGCGAGAGATGAAAAAACCAAGAACCGCAACAAATCACGTCGGCCACCTCGGCCTTAGCGGCACAACAGTCGCCAAAAACCCGCAGCCATAAAAAAAATATATATATATATAATAATAATAATAAAAAAAATACCACGGACAAAAAATTCAACCGCAGCTCTGATCTGTTTATTTATTTATTTATGGTGTTGAAGGAATACACTATTCTAAAGAAACTGGAAGTGTGAAAATCCAACCCCCGCAGCTCGACTCCTCCCGGAACAAAAAAAGAAAAGAAAAGAATGGAAGAATAAACCGGAATCCGAGGCGGCCCGAACTCCGGGCCAGGTTGAAATAAAGAGGCTGCCGCCATTCAAGGGCAGCCTCTAACCTTTTCGAACACCTTCATTTCTTTATTTCTTTATTTTTTTCTTTTTCTATTTTTTTCTTTCCTTCTGTCTTGCTTTCTTTCTCTTCTCCTCTTTCTTGTTCTTCTTTCTTTTTCTTTTTCTTTTCTTTTTCGTTCTTGTGAACTTTTTATTTTAGTTTATTATATATATATATATATATATATATATATATGATTTTTAAGAACTATTAATAAAACATAATTTTCTTTTTTTCTTTTGACAATGAGTGCTACTTCCCTTGGCTATTATTTAATGTTAACTAAAAAACCTATTCCTCATTGAAATTTGTCTTAATAAAATTCTACTCTAGGCTATATATCTATTACGAGAAATCTATTTTCTATTTTTTCAAAAAATTCTACTACTAACTCACAAAATTTGTGATTTAAAGCACAATAAGTACATTTTTTCTACTAAATATCCAAATGAGTCAATTCAGTAACTCACAAGAATCATCATATAATTGGGTGGTTTTCTTATCTTAATATGAAACATTATCAATGGTCAAAGAGATCCATCAACTACTTTCATGCAAAACAAAGATTAGAGTTTGTTACTAACACCATTTGATGGATCAATTTACAAAGTAATGATACAATTTAATGCCTAATAGGAAGGCTAATAAAATATAGCCATTTTCATAAGAGTGTTTATTTAGAAATATTTATCTCTACTCAGCAAGAGCTAGAGGGTACATGTATCACAGCAATGCTTACAGATACTTCACTTTGTCCTATCAACACATGAGAGCACTCATCATAGTTAGACCAATACTTATAATAAAAGAAATTCTAAAAAAAATTAATTTTATTAAAATATTAAAAATAGAAATCTTAAATGAATCCTAATTAAATTATAATAAAATTCTAAATTAATTTAAATCAATTCTAATCAAATCTTAATCAAATCTTTATGAAATCCTAAATCAATCCTAGCCAAATCCTAATGTAACTCTAAACAAATCATAAAAAAATCCTAATAAAATTTTAAACCAAATCTAGCCAAATTCTAATATGATTTTAAATCAATCTTAAGCAAATTCTAAATTCTAACCAAGTCTTAATTAAATCTTAATTAAATCATAAAGATGTTTTATTCAGATTTTAATTAAATCATAAAGATATTTTAATCAAATCTTAAATAAATCCTAATCAAATTATAATGAAATTTTAAATTTATCTTAGTTAAAGCCTAACATAATTCTAAATCAATCCTAAACAAATCTTAAATCTTAACCAAATCCTAATCAAATCTTAATTAAATTCTAAAGAGATTCTAATTAAATCGTAAATCAATCTTAATAAAATCCTAATAAAATCCTAAAAAATCCTAATAAAAACCTACTATAATCTTAAACCAATCCTAATCAAATTCTAATATAATCCTAAATCAATTCTAATGTAATTTTAAATCAATCCTAAACAAATCCTAAATCTTAATCAAATATTAATCAAATCCTAAATAAATCCTAAATAAATCCTAAACAAATTTTGAATAAATCTAACAAAATTTAAAGTAAATCCTAACCAATCTCTATAGCTATTTTAAATTTTTAATAAATACTAATCAAACCATTAATCTTAATTCAAATTTCACTTATATTTTAATTTATAAGCAATTTAAAAGCATAAAAAATTTGAGAAAAAATTAAATTATCAATAAAAAGAAAAAAACTCCTAAATTTCTTAGATTTTGGCCATCTTCTTTCTCTAACTTGGATGTTGATCTTTCAGCAATGATTTTTTCTTATTAAATCTTTAATTTCTTCCAAAATTGGCTAGTATGTATGCTTTTAAATTTAGATTACTCTCACAAATTTTTGCTTCAATTGAATTAGTGGATTTTTTAGGATCATAAAAATTCTTATGGATCATAAATTTTAAAAATCCAAGACCTTAATCCAATAAAACTTTCATATCCTTCAATCTAACTATTTGATTGTTATCAAATTTTTCAAATACACTAAAGCCAAGTACAATAATAAATTCACAAAATTTCACTAGCAAATATACTATGATACTCACATAATACTCAAAATTAAAAATTCCTTTTAATTTTTCAAAATCTAAAACCACTAAATATATTTTTTATTTGGATAAGCCTTCAAAAATTCAATATGACTCAAAATCATATGAAACTAACTTTCAAAGAATCTTCCATTAGTTTGCTCTCAAATTCCATTCTTTGATCTTCCAAAGAATCTTAGAATTACTATAGATGTACAATTTTGTGTCTTAAGGTCTAATTTCAACCTTGGTTTACAACTGGTTCTTTTGGAGTATCAATTCTTAGTATTTTGAGATAAATTTTACTAAAATATATTTTTTATTTTCTTCTAAAAATATTTACATTATTTATTTTTTCAATTAATATTTTTTACTTTATTTATGGCCTTACAAAATAAGTAGATATATATTTTATAAGAAGGCAAATTAATACTTATTAATTTTTACTCCCTTCTTATCTATTAATTATATTTTAAAGATATTTTATTAAAATATTTTTATTTAGTTCCTCTATAATTTAATCTTTTCTTTCTTCTTTCACCTTATGGCTATGTTACAATAAAATAGCATTGAAGGGATGAAAAACCAACAATTAGTAGATTCAATTTAAGAGCTATCATTTGGTGACTTATTGAACAAGACATTGTAATTGTCACAAGCTTCAAGATGACATAATAGATATAAAGACCTTTAAGAAAAACAAGTTTTTTCCTTGAATAAATGGCAAGATACATTGTGTTTGATATCATGATTTAAGAAGAGACTCCCAATATTTAGTGATTTTGTTGGAGGTAGAAACAATTCTTGATGATGTTCCAAATGTTTTATTTGAAGGGAGTTACAAAGGTCTTAGCAATGATCAAATAACATGGTAGTCTTCTTGTCCTAATATAGGATATTATCAATGATTGAGAAGACCTTTCAACCATCTTCAATGAAAATAAAGAGTAGAATATGTGACAAATACTATTTGCTATATTTGGACTTCAATATATGATGACTACTCTTCATAGAAATCATTACTAAAAGAGGAGATAGTATCATAGATATACATATTTACTTAAATAAGAAGTGTTAGATAGAAGATAAATATAAATAAATTTGATATTATCTTATAGCAAAGCTTCTTAAAAGCTTCATAGATGCTCATACATATTATTAACATTAATATTAATATTATTATTTTATTCTAATCAAAATTCATCTTTAAATGATAATTCATCCATAAATTTCATATATATTTAAAATTCATCCTTAAATTAAAATTCATCCAATAATTTTTATCTAAACCTAATTCAATTGAATCCTAAATTAAGTTCACCTACTCTCTACTCTAACCTCATCCAATTTTGATTTTCTCAACTGCCTACAACTTCATCCACTCTAGAAATTCTCAATGATTTTTTTGGTGATGATTACAGATGAAGGTGGTGATTGCAGAGCAGCTACTGCTCTAGGTTAAGTCGTTGATCTTGTGGAGTTTATCACCCAATTGAATATGGTGATGATCTTGCAATTGGTGGCATGGAGCAGTAATGACAAGAGCACCTACGGCAAATTCTCTTTTTCCCTTGTGAATACACAAAGATGTGTTCTTTGCACTGCAAGTGCATAAATCAATCTACCAAAGGGTTACTATCTCACTAGATTATTACGCTTTCCAACCAACTTGGTTCTGCAAGTCGTTACTTGCTGTTGAAGACAAGCCAATGAATTCCAAAAAAGAAAAACTTCACTGAATCAACTAGCAATCTGTAGCTCTTGGATCTCCAGATATAATGTATGAGGAACCAGAAGAAGGCGAGGCGTAAGGTCCTCATACTGTACCTAATGTGCCCTATTCTCAAAGCTGATCTACACCAACCTCCTTGAAGATCGTTTTTTTACCACTAACCAACTTTCAAAGGCTGATTATTCTTATATGTAAGCAACCATTCCTAATGCAAGACCTCTTCAAAGAGTCACATAATTGAGGTATTGCTCTATCCGATCTGGAAAAGAAAGGAGCTTGTTTGATGATCGAGATGTCTAAATCAAATCTATTGTTAAAGAATTTGAACAAAGAAACAAGTAGGGTGATGGCAAAAATCCACACTACCAATTTAACCCAATAATAAACTTCTTATTGTCTCCTTATACCGATTTCTCTTATTGCTTGGATGCTTGTCGGTAACTTCACAACTACAGAATGCTCTCTCCTCCTTACAGCCAAATTTGTATGAACCTCAACTGCAACTTTAGCTCCAAAGCTATAAAGAATGCGAGTAACACATCATGGATCTAATTATTCATAGTCTCGTTGTCTTGTGCACCCCCATTGCATCAAGCTGAATCTGTAAGCGCCGCAATAAGTCCAGTTGCCAATGTCGTTGACAATCCAGAACACCGAATGCAGCGACCACGCCATCTTCAACACCTACTCAACTTGGCTGTCATTGCCCACCACAGAAGGTGACTTGTCTATCCAAATCAAGGCGGAAAAAGAAAGAAAGGGAATCTGGTTCAACTGTTTTGTTTTGTTTTTTTTTTTGAAACCTCGTCGCCTTTGCTCTAAATCATAAAATCCCAATTTGGCTAAGATGTCTCTCAAGCTGCAATTTCACTCGCAAGCTTGAGTTGAACTGAACGCTGGAATTTGTGGTCTTGATTTTCAAATGAACTGGTCGCTTCAAGGCCAAGATGTGCTAGTGCCGTTGGAATTCCAACTGCTGCCATCAGCAATGCCTAATTTGAATAAAACCAAAAAAAGAACCGCCACTTGAGAGCACCCATGCACCACCTCCTCCACAAAGCACCGCGCAGTTGATGCACTAGTACAGACACAAAAGAAAAAGCAGACACAAAAAAAA